CCCATGTCTGTGGTAGTTTCCCTTTGCCTGAGCTTTCCTGTTACCAACTTGATAAAGTCATAGCATGTTCTTCCCACCGGTTCATGTCCGTCGCTATTGGGAGCTGGACTCAAACAAGTCGCCCATCTTCCAAGGTCTTCTTTGAACAACAGGAGCTCTACGCTGTTTGCTGCTTTATCTAATTTCTTCTGCTATGACTTCTAGTTATTTCTGGATTGCTAACAATTCAAAGCAAGGAAAAATATATTCCATCTTTACATGTGACCTCTAGGTCCTTTCTCAGTCAAGATTTTGTCATTATCTTCTTAAGAAGCTTGTACAGGGCTGGACATCTACTTGTTAGGTGTTATCTACTCGATTCTGACTCAAAAGTGGTCCCAGGTGACAGGGAAGTCCTGCCACATAGGCTGTAATCTATGTTGTGAGAATCCTGGGGGCGCAGTGTTACGTGTTAGGCGGCTAACTGCAAGGTTAGCAATTTGAACTCCCTAGCTGCCACTAGGGAGGAAGTCAAGGGTTTCTACTCCTGAAGAGTTAAAGTCTCAGAAGCCCACACAGGACAATTCTACCCTGTTTGGTTTTGGGAATCCAGGTTGTTGGAACCACCAACCCTTTAATGGCCAAGTGTTCCACTGTTGCGTCCTCCAGAGCCACGACTCATAGGAATAAAGGGATAGAATTAAATTTTGAGGGGGTGGGGTTTAAGATCTATTGTTAGCCTTTTTTTTTCTTGTCCTAAATAAATTTTATGTGCCTAACCCATCCCATTACACCACACACACACACACACACACACACACCACAAATGATTGCAATCACCAACATTCCTTTAAATTGTGGTTTCAGAATTCCAAGTATATTCTTTAAAAATAATTTAATACGGACATCCCCTTACAGAAGGGCCTTGGGGAGGAAATGAGCCAGTCAGAGTGCGATGTAGCAACAATGAAAAATACAACTTTCCTCTAGTTCCTAAATGTCGTCGCCCCCACCCCCCCACTATTATGATTCCAATTCTACCTTACAAATCTGGCTAGACCAGAGGATGTACACTGGTAGAGATAGGAACTGGAAACACAGGGAATCCAGGGTGGATGATCCCTTCAGGACCCGTGGCGATACTGGGAGGATGAAGAGAAGGTGGGTTGGAAAGGGGGAACCAATTACAAGGATCCACATATAACCTCCTTTCTGGGGGACGGACAACAGAAAAGTGGGTGAAGGGAGACGTTGGGCAGGGCAAGATATGACAAAAGAATAATTTATAAATTATCAAGGGTTCATAAGGGAAGGGGAGGTGGGGAGAGAAGGGAAAAATGAGGAGCTGCTGCCAGGGGCTTAGGTGGAGAGCAAATGTTTTGAGAATGATGAGGGCAATGAATGTACAAATGTGCTTTACACAATTGATGTATGTATGGATTGTGATGAGTTGTATGAGCCCCTAATAAAATGATTAAAAAGTAATTTAATAATCAGTTAAGGCATATTTTCCCTTCATCACATACAGTTTATTAAAGAGCAAGTTAATCCTTCAGTGCTAAAAATAAAATATTGTCAAAGATATACTGAGATAGCAAAAATATTTAAAGGTCGGGGGAGGGAGAATTTTTGTAGTTGTTCCCATTTTGGTTTTAAATGGTAAAGCATTCTCCAAATATGTCACCTTCTATTAAGAGAGATGGATTTTTAAAAGCAGGTTCCTGCTCCTGTTTGTTGAACTCAATCATTCTACGTCTTAATAAAAGGACCGGGGTTTGATGAATTTAAACTCTTTGAAAGCTAAAGATTAAAGTGAATTAAATTTAGTGCTGCTGGGATTTTTGATGTGTTCCAAATTTGTTTTTAATGGCATAACTGTCTCATGTTACAGTTAGGATAACATCATAGTGAACCGGTTATGTGTGCAGTTACACTAACAGAAACCAATTGCAGATGTTAAAAATGAAAGTGAGGACATCTGTAATGCTGTCTTGTAAAAAAATGGAAGTTGAGAATCAAAGGAAAAACACTTGGATTGAGTTAAGTTCCCAACGTGCAAGCCTTTTAATACACAAACCTGGGAATCCATGTGCACTGGTTGACTTAATGCATTTTCAACAGTATTTAAATCACTGTTTTACTCACTGCTACAAATGGAAAACAAACCCTGCATTTTCTCAAGGTATTTATTCATTCACTTTCCTGGGAAAGATGAGAGCTCCCAAACACACAAATGGGAGTTGTGCTAAATGGATTTTGAGACCATCATGAAGAAATAAAAACCACTAGTCCTGTGGATAAATGGCTACCATATTTTACATTTTGAAAGAACGTGAAATGAAAGTACTATTGCTTCTGTTACATCTTTTTTTCTTTACTGAAAGTAATTGCAATACTTTCTTGTCTCTCAGGCTTTCCTTCCCACAATTAATCACCTTTTCTTCCACACTTTCCCTCCAAGTGATTACTATTCCCCCTGGCCTTTCAACACATTAAATTATACAGCTCCATCCTCACAGCTTTCAAAACATCGCCTTGCCCTTGCTTAGTCTCACCAGCCACTCCCCTGTATTCTCTTTAAACCGGTTCATACAAATACTTTTGCATTACGCTTTTGCCAGAGGGGGCCCAACAGCTAATCAGAATACTTCTTTATAATACAAATAAGCTCCCTTGCTTATCAAACTTTAAAGTTCAAAGTTCTATGCATTTGAATCTCCCTGATAAGGAGCAAAGCAGCTGGTTCAGTTGAAACATTTGGAAGACAGTACTTGGCTGCTAAGACTTTACCCTTTCTCCTGAGCCTAGAATTTATGTTCTTGATCATCTGAACCAGGCAAGAAATTGTGGAAGTCTCAACCAGCTCCACCACCACCACCGCGGGCAGAGAGAACGCTTTCAAAACATGTCATTCACCGTCTCATTTAAAGGCAGCCTATGCATACATCCTTTTTAAACTACCAATATTGCTGTTCAAGACTTCAATCATATGAGGTAAGCGTTTCAATTTAGAGGCAAAAGGGGCGAGCAAAGGAACCCTTTTCTTAAATTTGTCATTATTTTCAATCAAAAGGCGATTTGATTATATCTGAGTGTGAAGTTGCCATTTGTCAAGCATCCGTTAGAAAGCCGCCTAGTGCATGGAATTAACCAACTCTTAGCCAAACGGGGCTTAAGGAGAGAGCGTTTCCCACGCCTGCAGTGACAGACGAGTTTCCAGACGTCCTTAAGCAGACTGTCAAACTTTTATGTTTACTCAGTTTAAACACTGAAGGGAGAAAGGCAAAGTCAGGTCTGTTTCATAAGAAGGATGGGGGGGGGGCGGGAATCCAGACGCTCACCTGTA